GGTCAAGGCAGTTGATAATATCATTGGACATCTATATCCAAGAATTTACTATAATCTTTGACACAAAACTTCATTTATTATGTAAAAATATCGATCTTTCAAATCTGGGTCAGTCTTAAACAACAAATTAAAGTATCTCTCCTAGAAACTTGAAACTTAAATCAATAATTTTTCATTGACAATGTATCAAATAAATTTAATGATTACAATTAAATAATTATTGATTATACTATGTTGAAACTTAATTTTTCGATTATTCCATTTTCTTTGCTTTCTTATTTATTCCTATTATTCTTATTATAGAGTAATTATTAATAGAAAACAATGAACTCTATTCTATTAAAGCGAGCATCACTTTTATGGGAATGTTTTTAAACTTTCATTTATTCTTAGACACAGTTCCATGCAAAGAATAAATGATTTCCCTGCTGAACGTATAAATGATCTATAATCCTCTCAGCAAAGCCTTACGACTCATCGAGAATAGGATTACATGTAAATGTAGTCGCTTTACCTAGAAACTGCTTCCTGTCTGCTTACCTTATGACTGTTTTACTAATAAAATTTCATAACTTCTGTCTATATTAATATTCATCTTTGTTTATTATATAAATTTTCAATTAATTCTTTATATTTTATATTAATCTTCAATATATCGTTCATGAATGTCATTTGTGTTGAAAAAAGATAAAATTATTGTTACGAATCATAAACTTTTTCTTTTAATAAAAAAATTATATAAACAAGAAAATTGAACGATTTTTTCTTAATTTAAAATTAAAAGGGATTATCATATTAATATCATCATACAATAATACGATTTATTTTATTATCTATGTAATATCAAAATATTTATAGAGGAAAACATAGAAATATGAGCCATCAATTTAGTTTTAATATGATAGTTTTAATAGGGATAATGATTTTTGCGTTGTAGATACTTGCTGACTATAATGCCTTTTAAATTATTGGGCATGAGACAAGATGATATCCTATACAATCCAAATCCATTGTATCATACAGCTGGTGGAATGATTGGGGCAGGTTTCGCGATTGTTAAAGGTGTACCGAACGTGTTAAGGACTAAGTTTTCAGTGTCGGCTTATTGGACAGATTGCATCAAATATAACTGTACCGTAGGTGATTTACAAAAATTCTATAACGATCTCAGTAAAATTGATGCTTGATTAGATTTTTTTTTTTTTTTTACTCACAATATCGATTAGATTTTCGAAAATAGGAACAGTTTATCTGTTTGATAAACGCAAAATTTTTGTCATCAAAAATTTTTTCATTGAATATTATTTAAATTCTATAAAAATTAATAAATTTACTGATATCATCAATATTTTTAAGATATTCAAATTATTTTAAATTTTAAATTTCTTCGTAAATCAATTATACGATTTATTAAATTATTTCTTTATATCATTGATATTTAATTACTAAGCATATTTATTATATTATATCATGTAACAGTAATTTTATTTATTAGGCAGCACAATACATTGGTGAAATGTGTCGTTACTTGCTGAGTGCACCACCTAAACCAGAAGATACTGCACATCGATTGAGACTTATGTTTGGAAATGGTATGAGGCCACAAATTTGGAACGAATTCGTCAAACGTTTTAACATTAAACGAGTTTCTGAATTTTATGGATCCAGTGAAGGAAATGCTAATATTTGTAAGATTCGATATTTCAGTTATAGTAGAATAAAAAAAACTATAAAAGAAAATTTCTTAAATATTTCTTATTATATATTAAAGCTAACTTTGACGGTCGGATTGGCGCTGTTGGTTTTGTACCATTAATTGTGCCACGAAGATTTCATCCTTTAGCAATTATCCGAGTAAATAATCAGACATATGAGCCTGTAAGAGATTCAAATGGCTTATGTATAAGAGCAGGAACAAGTGAGAACTTAACACTGATACTTTGTTTTAAGCATTAGTCAAAAAAAGAAATATAAATATAAAAATAAATATTTTTTCTTTATGATATAGATGAGCCAGGAATGTTTATAGGATTGATAAAAGAAGGAAATGCGTTAAGAGAATTTAATGGATATTTAGATAAGGAAGAATCGAAAAAAAAAATAATACAAGATGTGTTTGTTAAAGGTGATAAAGCTTTTCTAACAGGTGAGTACATATATAATTTCTTTTACTGAATTAAAAATCATTAAACCTTTTTTATTAAACATTATCTATTCTCAATTCTCTTTTCAGGTGATATTTTAGTAGAAGATGAATTTGGTTATCTTTATTTTAAAGACAGAGTAGGTGACACATATAGATGGAAGGGAGAAAATGTTGCTACCGCTGAAGTGGAAGGAGTTATCAGTAGTATTGCAGGAAAAAGAGCTTCTACCGTTTACGGAGTTCAGGTTTTTTTAAAAAAAAATAATTATGTTTAAAGTTTGATTTAATCAAATTTAAAAAAATAATTATAATGTCATTGAAGGTACCTGGAATGGAAGGAAGGGCAGGAATGGCAGCGATAGTTGATCCGGATAGTCTTTTGGATTTCAAAGCTCTCGCAGAAGGCTTAGAGAAAGCACTGCCGGCATATGCAAGACCAATTTTCCTGCGAATTGTGAAAGAACTTGAAATGACTGGAACATTTAAATTGCAGAAAATGAATCTTCAAAAGGATGGTTTCGATCCGAACAAAGTTCAAGACAAAATGTATTTTCTAGCCGGTAACAAGGAATACGTCGAAATAACACCAGAACTTTATCAAGAAATTATTTCCGGAAGAAGAAAGTTTTAGTCATTAGATATTTATTTGTTCGATATACTTGTAAAAGTTAGAGAACAAGTATATATAACTTTTTTTTATAACATGAACATAATTTCTGCACGCGCCTTGTAGATACAATGCATAGGATTTTATGTAATAATCAAATATATAAAATCATAGAATTATAGATGGATGTTTTTCCGACTCATAAAATTGAAGGGGGAAGACTTATTTTTACGAAATTCAAAAACAGAGAAAAGAATGAAAAAAAGCTTGTTATGTTATATAACAAAAAAATATTTCTGTCATCAACAACGAGAGATGAATATGGTGACATGTTCCTGTTTATTTTATAAATACTGTACATTTTTAATCAAATGAAATGGTCCATAGCATAAGACAAATTGGCATTCTAGGTAAGAAAATAGCAACGAATAAAATCATTCTTAATATAATATTGATTTTTTATCAAAAATATTTTATTTCTGAAATATTCAGAAATTTCTCAGGTTTGTCGACAATTTTGTTTATGACTATTGAATCAAAAAGAAGTAAATTACTTATATATTAAATGTATAACTTGTCATTGTATTTCGATTGTAATTTTGTTATTTATATGGTTATTCAATTTGCATTTGTTTTAATTTATATATCTTTATACCAAAATAATAGAATTAAAAAAAAATGTGAATATATATGTCGATTAAGCGTAATATTATATGTAAGCTCAATATTATAAGCATAATACTATATTAATTCCGATATCAAGGAATAATAGATGTATATAAGTTTGTTATAAAAATGTAACATTGAACCAAACAAAATTTCACTTCCACTTTAAACTATTTAAAATAATCAAAATTGTAACTAGAATTTTTCCATATTTAGAGTTTGTTTAATGATGCACTGTTTGTATATTTAAATAATCTTTATAGATTTGATACTTAAAATATCATATAAATGTTTTCAAATCTAAAATATTTAAACAATATTTATTTTAAAATTTATATAGACCAATATAATTAAAATATATATTTTAGAAAATTTTATTGAAGTGATCTTCAATTAATTTGTTGCTTTTGAATAATTATTTAATGATTTCTCAAGAATGACTTTGTATATATATTTTTACATATTCAAAAAAATGCATAATTGTATTTAATATATCATAAATCTAGAAATTAGTATTTTAAAATATGTACTTTACAAAATTTTTTATTTAAAAAAAATTGGTTAGAAACATTAAAATATATATAAGTTATAAAATTTTATAGAACTACTAATTATATATTGCATATTATCGACTTGTATATTATTAATCGATATAATATAAATACAGGTTTCTGTAAATAAATAATTACACTTTATACAACGTGCAACAATTTGATTTATTCCTTAATATCACATAATATTAAAGCATCATCATTAATGTTTAAAATAGTCTTTAGAGAGTAATCTTTTTTACTAATTTCAAGAATTACAGTCAAGTTGGAATATTTTATTATATTTATTATAGTGTTCTTAAAAAAAATATAAATAAGATTCTTAAAAAATTAAAGAATTAAATTATAGAATACTTAAAACTTTTTAATTCTTACAAAATTTTTTAATAATTAATCAAATAATAAATAAAGCCTTTCATTTTATGAAATAATTTGCACATAAATTTATCTATTTAAATAAGACATAATATTACATATGTTGGTAGTTTTCATTTATAATTATAAATTTTATTATTGTTAAAATAACTTCATAAAATTCACAAAATTGATACCACAGATAAAAATAATAACTAGTTGATATAGATGAATTGAAAAATTAAATAAAATATCTTATTAAAAAATCATTTCACTTCATGTACTCTAATTATATCTATAGAAACGTCATCGTATTATTTACAAATATGAACATAGCGTAATAGCAATATTCATATCATAAGTAATAATTATGGCAATTATATAATAAGCTTCATTATTAATGAAGCTAAGACAGGTTTTTTTCTAATATTTATAACCGACCTGCAGCCATGTTAAGGATATTAAATTTTTTTAAACAATCCTAAGTTGCTTACATCATATAACGATGACGCAACCATTTCATATTTTTGAAATTATATTAATTTATTTCAATTTATCGATTAAATTTGAAATAGATATGATGATAAGATATATAATAATTTAAATATTAAATTTTTATATGCAAAATTAGCGTAGTTATTTAAAATTCAAATATATTAAAAAATCACAAATTTAATATCCAATTTAACAATGAAGTGCCTCGTATTATGATATATTCGTATACAGAAAAGAGCATAAATATAATTTTTGCATGTTGAATATTGCAGAATGATTGTGTATATTTTAACACAAAAGAAATGTATGATGTAATACGTTGCACATATTTTTTCTTAAATTATTTTATAAAGAATTTCATTTTTATACATTGACAAATGCCAAAATTTCCTATATTCAACTTATAAATTTATCTAAATAACATTTGATGCTACGTACTTTGCTGGACATCTTTGAAGCTAACTGTAATCAATATTTGTAATCCAGCGAATAAATTATACACATATTATAAATGTTAAATATTTTACAAAATTTATGAAATTTTTAGCTTACAAACTTTTCCCATCTGTTTTTCTTAATCTTTTAAGTATAATCATTTGTGATTGATCATTGATGCAATCCAATTCTTCGATTTTAGCCATGAATTAGAAGCTACTTTAATAATACCTATAGAAAGGTACATTTGTTTCAGCTATCAGCTAGGTGGTATAGCTTTGGCAGTTTGTCCAAAACCTAGATTAGGCCGTGTGCCAAACCATGACATTTTCCATTCTAAAGTTTCTTGTAATAATCGCTCCTCTTCGGGTGAAAAATGTAAAAGAGTAGCAACTGCTCTCGTTAAATGAAGGGCCTTAAATAAATACACAAAAGTTAAACAAGAAAATAATTGAAAAATTTAAATTTCATTACAATATTGTTAACTCTTATATAAAAATTATATTGTATATTTCGTATTTCTTTTATATATATTTATAATTATTTAAAAAAGATTAGATACTTTGTCTTGATGGTTTAAAGTAAGTATATCAAATTTACCTCATATTCCCTACTTGTTAGGAACTTTATGAGAACATGTTTAAGATATTTAAAGTTAACATCATCATCTCGTGTATTATTGTGCCTGGCAGTGACTGTTTTTGACGAACTGGGCTTGAGAATCGCCGCAGAAGGTTCAGCATCACTATCCAATGATGAAGACGGAACTCTCAACTCTCGTTGAAGAGTCTTTTTCATATCGGTTAATCGTTGCTGTAAGACTTTAATTGTCTAAAATAATTATTATTAAATATTAATAATATTCTTTTGAAATAAATTTTTTAAGTTTCTTAAATTTTACCTTAGTTTTCTCGTTTAATTGCTCTTCAAGATCCATCAAGCTACTTTTAAGTAATGTTTCATTCCTCTCCATTTTTTTTCTATTTTGTTCCACATCTTCCAATTCCAACATTCTCTGTTTGGTTTCTTCTAGCGTTGTCATCGCTTGTTCTATTTCCTTACTTTTACTTTGTAAATTTTGTTCTAAAGTTTCTATCCTATTTTGTAACTCTATATTTTCTACTTCCTGTCGTCTATTTTCTTGCTTCACAATTTCTATATCTTGAGAAACTTGAGCATTTCTTAATAATACAGTATCTTTTTCATTCTTTTCCTTTTCTAAACATACTTTTAATGTTGCTGATGCTGTTCTTTCAGATTCCAGATCTTCTCGTAAACGTGCTACTTCTAAATGCAGAGATGAATTATTCATTCGTTCCCCTTCTAGAGTCAAACGAATATGAGCTAATTCTGAATTAGCAGTTGAAAGTTTTGTTGTTGTTTCTTCCAAGTCTTGCTTTAACTGAGTTATCTGCTTTGATGATGATTCCTGACAAAAAAAAAAAAAAATAACAAAACAACGTGAGTGGTATCTAATATTACTATATTAAAAATAAAAACAATTGTAATTTAGCAATGACTAAATTTATTAAAATATATTTCATTATATATTTTTGGGATTTATATAATGAATTTGTTGAAAAATAAAAATAAAAAATGCAAAGCATGTTTTACATTTTAATAAATATTGGAACTAAAGGTACAATTGGTAGATTAAATTGATAAATTTATTAAAATTATTTTCAAACAAAATGATGATTATATGCGAAATAAATATGCGAATAAATTACACTATTGAAAAAGAATATAGAAGAATTATTACAAAAAAATTTTGAATAAGTTATTTTATTAATTTATAATTTGAAATTAATGGCTTTTAATATAATATATATAATATATATATATATAATATATATAATATATAATATAATATATATAAGTAAACATAAAATTATTTATGAATATTTTCTTTTTAATAATTAAACGAAAACATTACGGATTGCACCATTAATTCCAAAATTCAAACCTGCAATAAATTTTTAAATAGATTAGATTAATTTTAAAAACATTTTGCTATAACTTTTGGCTTTTCAATAAGATTTAATTTTATTTAACATTCTATCTTTTATTTTATACATGATATATAATATGTTTCCTATTATTTGTATCCATTAAATACGCATTCCTAATATTTACAGCAACGTAAATATAATCAGACTGTGTCGTTGGTGTAGCAAAATATAACATGATTTATTAATCCTGTAAGAAAAATCGTGTACACATTTGTGTGTATATATAAAAAGCCATTTGAAAAAGAGGAGGATATAAAAATGGGTTGAAAACAAGCACAAAAACGAATGCAATAAACGATAATTTATTTGTTCTTTTCTTTATTTCATAAATAAAATATACAGAAATGCGATCGTACATAAAAATATTATTGTCGGTACTACCTAATTTTCATATATAAATACACGCGGAATGGAAATGTAGGATTTTAAAAAGTTGACTACAATTATTTTTGTTTATTGATACGTAATGCTGATCTTGATAAAATATAATGTACATAATAAGTTTTTGCATGCAATAAAAATAAAAAAATTATGAACAAAAGAGTGTGCTAATAAATATGCGTAAAATAAATGTTCTGTGCGTTAAGCATCAAGCATCTTAGAAATAACATGCAATATAAAGGCGATATGTAGTTTCCAATTATACATTAAAACACGATTTTTCTACGCGTTCGTGTATACGCATTTTAGAATTTTTACACTCATAATGTAATGTCATGAACATTCAGTACTTTATAAAATAATTAAAATACGAATATTTAAACAACTGTGATAAAATAGAAAATAAAAAATTCTTATGACCACAGTTAATTAATTCATAAATAAAAAGTATACTTAAGACTGAAATATTAACGTTCTCTTTGAAATATTGAAAAGAAAAGATACTTATAGCGAAAACTTCATATTGTTAATGAAACTTCAATTAAAAAACTTATTATTCGATACTGTGATCATTTGAAAGTATGCCATTTGACAAATAGGGAATGTTCGTTTTTTTTGCATTTAAAAATCTAACAGGACAATCTTCTTCAAAACAATCTAACCCATGCATGACTACATATCGCGGTAACTCACAATTTGTCGTTTAAATTCGTCCACCTCATCATCGACGCTGGCCCGGAGCTCTTTTAGTTCCGTGGCCATCTCGTCGATGTCCTCTGCCATGCGCAAAAGCTTGGCGTCTTTCGTCGCCATGACAACATTGTTCACCTCTATTTCAGCTTCTAGCTGCTTGATCCTTTGCTTCAGTTTTTCACTTTCTTCTTCGACTCGTCTTCTTTCCAAACCTTCTTCACCAGCTTGCCTGCTAAGTCTCCCAACTTGTGTCTCCAAGCTAGATATTTTTCCTGACCAACTAGTTTTTATATCGGATAAATGAAGGTGAGCTTCTTCTAACTTTCTTTCTAACAACGCTCTTTCTCTCATAAGATCAGCTATTCTTTCATCCACTGTTACTTGATCATTACTCTCTAAAGCGACTCTTTGTTCTAATACAAAAACTTTATCTTTTAAGTGACGTACTTCCTCTTCAGTTTGTGCCAGTTGACAGGATAGTTGAGCTCTCTCGCGCTGAGTAGAATGACGTAGTGTTTCCATTTCATCCTGAAAATGATGATATTATTATTACGAATGCCTCTCCAAGTTTATTATTATTACATTTTGCTCTGCAAGCTTTGTTGCAAACCTTACCAAAGCATTGCTAATACAGAAAGATGAATAGAATATTACAAATAATCCAAACCTTATGAAGCCAAGAATAAGCGAATGATGAATTTGATGATTAATAATAATAATGCTGAAAGTGAACAAAATAAGAAAAAAAATTTATGAAGCAAAAATAAATTAGTGTTAAATAAATTTTTTGTTCAGAGATTTGAAATTTTTCATTATTTATTACAAATTTGAATATGATAAAAATTTAATTTTATAAGAGACATTTTATTTGACATTTTATTTCGAAAATTTTAATTATTCCACGCTGTTACGAGAGTAACAACATTGGAGTATGAGTACTGCAGTAAAAACAGTTCAGACATTTTATATGAAATTTTATTATAAGATGAAAAACTTTTTTTCCATCATTAAATCACTTCCAATAGTTAATACATGCATTTCTCCTATGTTATAAAACTTTGCACCAAGGAGAGAATTATACATAAAGAGCAACACTGATGTAAGTAAAATCTATAGAAGTTATTTATGTTGCAGAATAGCAGCAAAGCTTTGAAAACGTACCTCTAGCATCAGCGGTAGCAGCAGCGAATTAGCGGAAAATACCGCCTACTCTGATCTCCAATGCTCTCGTTTATCAAAGTTTTCCAATCTTCATGCGTATGTTGTTTTCACAAAACTTTCAGTATCACTTAGGTTTTGCTCATGTTCCATAACCAGTAAAAGAATATTGTTCTTTCACAATTTCTTTGTACTCAATAAAATGCCTGCTTTTTCCCAAACTAAGTTTTAATAAAATGAAAGCAAATATTTCCTACCAGATATTGGAAGCACATTTTAAGAGTACAAATAAAAGTTATGGAACATATGCTCATTTGTTTTATTTTAAAATATATTCCAAATATTCTAAATATTCAAATAATTAATTCTTGACTAAGTCACTTGTTCATCATAATTTGATATTATGTGTCAATACAAAAAAAAAATGTGCAGAAAAAACGTAGCAAATGTGACAAAACAAAAAGCTATATATAAAATTAAAAAAAAGAAAAAAAAAAAAAAAAAGAAAAAAATAATGAGAGGCTCAAAAATATAACTAATTCTTAAACAGAAGCGTGCTTATACCTAAAAAATATGTTTATAATCAATTTTCATAAATATTTCATAATCAATATTACAAAAACAAATAATTTTTCCTTTATTCATGATAAAATAATATTTAATATTTATTTTTAAATCAAGTTGTTATTAAATTATTTACATATATATAAAAAATTAATTTATTTGCAATAAGAAATAATATTTATTAAGAACAATATTATACAACAAGAATAAATTAAAATGATAATTTTATAGATCAAGAATTATCAATCAAGTGATTTTTTTTCTATTATTAAATTGTAAAAATAAATAATTGTAAAAAATATGGTATGGTATTATTTTATAAATCATAATATTCATATATTAGAAATATAATAATTTATCATTTTTAAATAGATAATTATTAATCCTTAAAAAGTGAATTGCCAAACTCTGCAAAGTTGAGATATATACATTTTATAAATACATAAAAAATAAATATAAAATACTAAATATATAATAGTAATTGCATATAATTATATGTATATAATTCAATATTAAAGATATAATATATTTAAAAATAAAAAATATATTTAAATATATTTAAATTAAATTTAAAATATGCTCCATATATATTTACTCATTTAAATAATATCAATCTTAGTAACTTATTATTAACACAATTATATCAAATAATTGTGTTAACATAATTGTGAAGTTTATAGTATATTTCATATAATAATTAGATTCAAATGAAGCACTTATCAAATATTTTACTCACCTGTACATTATTTAATTCATCTTCATATCTTCTAAGACGAGAAACTTCACTTTTTAAACTGTCAATTTCTGCAATGGCTGCTTTTAAATGATGTGTTTTTTCTTCCACTTCTTGTTCTTTTGCCAATAACTGAAAGAAACAAAGTAAAATAAATAAATTACATATAAAATATAAATAATACTTTTGAAACATATAAAAAAACATACTAAGTGTTTTATTTTTGCCATTTCTTGAGTTTGAAAACCTTCTAATTGTTCTGCATCTTCTTGAAAAGTATATAATTTTTTTTTGTATTCTAAAATATAATATCATTAATGAAAATTTAAATTATTTAATTTAATATCATATTATAATTACAAAATATACCTTCTGCATCTTTAAGAGCTAATTCCAACGAATGTTTTGTATTTTGAATGTCTCTTAATTCTTCTTCTAATTTATTCTTATCTTTTTCCTGTTTTTCAACTACTTTTTTCCATTCTTTTTCTTTTTCAAAAAGTCTTACTTTCCATTCCTCTTCTTTTTTTTCCATTCGTTTCATCAATTCTGTCTCTTTTTTTGCCAATCTTTTTCGCCATTCATCTTCTCTGTTTTCAAGTTTTTTAATATCTTTAGCAGAGAGTTGCATATTATCATTTAATTTAAAATCAAAGCTATCTTTTTTTAATGAGACAGGTGGAGAAGGTGAGGTTGTGTTTTCTTCACGTGAACCATCTAATGAAATTTGAGATCCACTAATACTACTTGTAGATCCCGTCTATAAAAAAAAATATTACTGCTTTAAAAAGTTAATTGGCAAAGCAATGTTTTATATTGTTATATCACAGATGTATATTTATAAAAATTTTTTATAATTTCAATTTATTTAGTTTAAAATTACTATAAATATTAAAATTAAAACAAAATTAAAACATTTTAACTACCAATAGTTTAATTAGTTAATGAAATTAGTAATATTTTAATCAATTTATGTAAATTTTGTAATTATGCAAAATCAAGCAATATACATATGTGATATTAATGAATCATCTGGTAAATATATATATGTAGAATTAATAAGAAACATCTAGCATAAAATATGTACATACATATTATCAATACTTTCTTAAAAATTAATGATTCGATGTAATTATGAATACTTATAAACTGTTTATAAATAAATCTATCTATCTATAAATGCAATATCGTACCTACATAGATAATAATTATACATAGAAATATATTTACCTGAGACATATGCCTCGAATTAATAGCACGCACATTGCCGGCATTTCTAACGACAGTTGACACGTCACTCCCTATTTCTTCTCGTATTTTATTTTTTAGCGTTGCAAACATGATGTGATAACCTTCAAAAAGACGAGCAAAAAATGACAATTACCACCTGTCAATGACAATATTGTGCTAATTCTGTGCTCGTCTATCGGAGAAATATTAAAGAAAAGGAAGTAAAAATGTATTGTGCCAAAAATTCATTCTTTACTGTTGCGTTATTGACACGATTAGATTTAATTTAGCCATATTTAAATATTTAGTATACACACGATGACAAAAATTTTATACATATTTAAATATCGTATTAAGGTCAGACGTCTGCCATACTCCTCACTACCGTTCAATCACTTAAATAATCACTGGTTTTGAAGTTTGATATATATATATATATATAGGTAATGTTTTTAGGAAAGTTCCCTATTTTTAGAAAATTAACACAATGTATACAGCGCGAAATGCAAATGATTAAATTGCAATATATCACAAGAAATCGAGATTGATAACAATTCATAATATATTATTTTACGATATTAAAAAAATTGTTTTACACATATACGATTCAATTAGAAATGAATAAAAACTATGCACTACATTAATACAATACTTTTTATCTTCTTGTACGCAAAAATAATTATATAATGTCGTCACTGTTTTATTAAATGGCGTTTTATCGTGACTCACTCTTATTATACTTTCTAACCAATAAAATTATCAATATACTAGGAATATTTTATTTTTATGTTAAATATGTATATATAATGTTGGTAGAACTGATATAGGAAATAATATGCAGTGTGCATTTAGCGCGTGCAGTGGAAGCATTTAGAATTAATGTTTTCAAATTTGACGGTTTAAAAGTGCATGTGAGTTCCCATTTTTCATACGTATTTTGGTAATGTGTGTTGTGAAATTAAATAAAAAATGGGAGACTTCATGGACGAAACGGCTGCTACAACAAATTATTTTGATACGTATGTAAATTTATATATTATGTATTTATTTAATATTATTTTTATTTCTTAAAGCAGAAGATCCTTGTTTTCATGTGTGTTTTCATGTGTTTACTATATATATTATATATA